GCCGTCTACAGTAGAGCAAACAACGCACTAGCTGCATCCGCAGTTGAGGCGACGCTCCTCTTCAGTATCAAGTCTCTGAAGTCGAGGATGTAGCATGTCTATATGCCGCGTTAAGCTGAAACCAGACAGGTTTCAGCGGCAGGTAAATTCAGATATCGAACACAAGTATGATATGAGTAAGCTGCGGGCTTGTCACCATGCAAGTATAGGGCATGAGTAGAGCATCAAGTTGAAAATTCTGCTGTACATGTAAACCGAGTGCCCCTCGTTTTTTTCCCGATTCACGCTTAGTGGATGTCGTGTACATCCCATGTAAATCAGCTCCAAGTGCCTGTCTCACTGAACGTCAGAAAGGAAGCTTCGTCATCATTCAGGGTCATCCTGCTCGCTGCATGTGACAGGTGAGTACACTGGAAGTGTCTGGTGCAATGCGAAACCATGAGGGCAACGTAAAACTACGGGAATCACTCAATAAAGATGTTAAGTCAGTCGTACTTCCGAAAGAAGAGCATCTTTGGCGGCAGCCATGTTGCGGAACGCCGCAGCTAGTATAACCCCGAGTATTAAAAACGCCACATAGCTCTTGCGAATGCCTCGGCGATGGGTTTCTTCATACCCTTCTGGTCCCCATTGCTGCTGAACTGGAGTAACTCCTTGACCCACCTCAACGGCGGTGCCCGTCGTGCTGGCAGGCCCTCCGTTGGAAGATGAAACTCCCATAGCTAGCAATGTTATCGAGATGACAAGCAGAAGTTTTGTCACTAGCAGGACTGAGCTGGGGACGGTGCAGCGCCCCTCGGTGGAAATCCGTCGATTGCTGCGAGCCATTGTGCCTCAGAAATCTTGTGTCTACTGCCCTTCCAGAATTGTGCAGTACTAACCTTTTTGGAAAGGTTGAAATTGCCTGCTTAGGGTAGATATCAAATTTACTGAAGTGCGAACGTGCTTTAGCGGTCCTGCATTGATCGGTCCGACGCCCGTACCGGGCTTCTGTAGGGCCATTCTGACAGGGTCTTTCCTCGACCCAGTTCAGCTAAGTTCCTCTAAAAACCAGCTGCCTTCCAACCTTTTTTGTGAATCGCGAACAATTCTATACCGATTAGGAGGGGAATCAGCTGATTTTGGTGGCACGTTAGCGCTCTTCTGGAGGTAGTNAGGTAGTTTCACGACGCCTTAGGCGGCTCAGGGCATTGTTAAGATCAATGGTGTACGCAACGTCTTACGCCACTTTGCATAGTGATAAGCTGTTTCAACACCTCTTTTCGGATGATGACTGCCCTTTTATGAGGCCACATATGAGGGACCATAATGGATCCGGCTCTGCATTTGGCGATACATCCTCTGCATTCTATCAATTTCTCTTCACCAACTCCTCCTTAAGTTCGATGGGGACAGTTCTCCTCGAGTGTTTTAAGCCCTAACTTTTTCCGGTATTTTAAGCAGGAGACTTTACGAGTTGCTTGTGCAGAGTCGTTTTTCAGGAATGCCATCCTGCCACCCTGCGCTGGATCCCAACGCGATAGATCCTGTCGTAGACATAACCGGCCGATTTACGTTCACAAAAGGCTAATGATTTGCCTAGAGGTTTTCTGGGCGTTTAGAATATTTCTTTCCTGCTTGGGGGGCCGGCTGCTAATGCGAGTCCCGTGGTCACTGAGCAGGTCCAGTAGGGGTTGTGAATCACTCGTGCCCCCCGTTTCCCAAATAAATGCCCGTAAAACGCGGAAATCATACGATGGTGACATCTACGGGCTGAAGACAATAGATGTGAAGGGTATATTTCGGCCTGTGCCCTAGTGCCACTTGTTCCGTTATTTCTGCAGTCGCCAAGACATTTCAACGCATGGAGGGCGTTGCCCTGTCCATGGTCCTCTTTCAGGTTACTAGATCAACAGCATCAGCAGAAAGACCCACAGCATGTTTGTTTCTGAGCACGTGTCACTAAGCTCGCGCCCCCCCAGCCCCAAATTGCTCTCGCCACTATCGTCATGCTGCCTCAGTCCCTGTGTAGTACGACCCAACCTGGAGGTTGAGGGGCATGTACAGGGTAACAATTGGAATATATGAACCTGACACATCTACAATGCCTTCACTGACGAGTGGAAATAGCCTTCCTCCGCTCTGGGATCATAATGCTTCCGTGAAGGCGTGCGGAGTCCCGATAGGTACGGCCAAATCCCTTCTACCTTGTAAACAACCTAAGCGTATCATGTAAGCGTTCATCTGCGCTATCTTACTGGCATGTTTGGCTGAAGCAACCTTAGGAGCTTTACGGCACATAATGGACCCCAAAGAGCAGCACGCCCCTCCACTAAGATCATGTCCACCACATTTACGATGCATTTCAAGCATCCAAACCTCACATATTCGATGCATCATAAATGCCACATACAACAATATCCCCCAAGTTACTCTACCAAATATGCCAAACTCCAGACAGCGAGCACGTTACAGCGAGCATTTGACGAGGTAAAAAAGCCTCTTGCTGGCCAGACAGAAAACTACATATTATGCAGTTAAAAATGCAACCATGATTTGGCGAGTTAAGTTCCATACTTCTCCGTTGAGGCGAAAAGGTGTTAAAAATATAAAGCCCCCTTCAGATGCTAATATACTCCGACAGGCACGCTGCTTCGGCGCGTTTGCAGGACAGGGGAATCCAGAGTGGCACACGTGACACCAAAGCAGTTGTCCCCACCTATTCAAGCAACAATCACCGTCTAGCCACAAGTGTCACTCCTTCGTTTAATGTGACTGCGGCTAGCCATGGCTATGGGCCACAGAGGCGCAGGGCGTGCAATTGCCACAGACCTCACCCAACCCTAGCGGTGAAAAGCCTCGTAAGACACCGTTCAGGGAGGTGCTGTTCCCAAGGGGGGCTTGAGATAAGGAAACTACCTTCTCTGCACTGTTATCCGCGTGGTTGAGTCGCCTGGCCGGTGGTGGCACTTCTGTAAACGGCACTAGCGTCATTCACGACAGCAGCGTCAGAGTGCAGGCATTACTCAGGTGCGACCTAGCAGCGCCTTCCAAGTGCAGCTGTTCGTTCCTCTACGTGAATACTGTGACGGTGAAACAAGAGCGCAAAAAACTAGTAGTGTCCATGAATGCTGCAGCGCTTCGCAAGGGTGGGGTGATGCGGCCAGTCGCGCACCTGAGCATTTCAGGCACTTCTACACAAGCTTATGAACCGTAAACCGATCGCATCCCACGCAATCTATACATCTCCATTAGCACACCACAGAAAGCGCAACGCCTGCACGCCTGGGATTAGCCAGTCGCCCTCTTCGCGGTGGAAGCCCCGATGTACCTGAGATGCTGCACCCTTTAGTCCCCCACAGTCCACTAAAACCCTATCATCTTGTAGCCCCTCAACAAAGAAAAACGCTTTAGAACCAGTAGCAGCAGCAGAGGGGACCCCGCCGAAAGAGACACAGCCAGCGAAACCTGGGGATGGACAGTGGCGCCCCCCCTCTGCCGTAAGGAAGGTAAGAGCTAAGTTTGTCTCAGTTCTCCAGAGTAAGGATTCAGGGCGTTCAGTGAAATTAAAAAGCATTAAACGGCCCTGGGAACAAGGCCAACGCCTGTGATGGGTAAAGTCGCTGGCTGTGATTGTTGCTGCAGCTGCTGGCACCCACCGCCAGCAGCAGCCGCTGCGGCGCGCCGCAGCAGGGGCTGCAGCAGCAACACTAGCTGGAGCAGGACTAAGTTAAATCCCGTTTCCGTGCCATCTGCTTTACTGCTTGTGGCTTTAAACAGACTGCCGAGGCGCCGCAGCAGCAGCGAGTAGTGCTGCTGTCGCGCGGCAGCAGCATTAGCCGGGCTGTGGCGCCACACCACACGGGCAGTTGCTGCCTCCGTGCAGCTCCAGACAAGTCAAGATCTGCATGTTTTGCAGTTTACCAACAACAGCAACAGCAGCAACAGCAGCAACAGCAGTAGCAGTTGCGGGAGGTCCTTGCGTCAGAGTTTCACGGAGGCCGCCGGCCCGAACAGAGGGGCGTTTCTAGGAAGCGCAGTTTCCAGCTGTACACCTCACTACTGCTTATATTCTTGCATTTTCAGTGTCCTCAGCGTATTCTACAATTGCTGCTCCAGCTGCAGCTTGTTCCTGTTGTGGCTCGGCCTACCGCTCGGGGCTCCGCAGGCCTTCATGTTCTGTCGAGGCTCCATTCATGTTCTGTCTGGGTTGCAGCTGTTTTTCGCTGCTGCTGCTTGACCCATTGCCTAGACCCTTCATTTCCTCTCTTAGGTAGTGCTCTTATTCTCAGAAGCAGCTTCTTCATTCCTGCTTGACCAGCAAGTTAACCGCCGCGCGCCGCTCGTCTCCTGCGGTGGCTTTCTGGTGCTTGAGGTCGGTGCTCACTGGTTGCCGCCAAACAGCCTGACCTGATTTAGCAGATATTCCGGGGTCTGTTGCATTGGACCTCCTGGACTGTACCACAGCAGCAGCAGCAGCAGCAGCACCCGCAGCAGCAACTCACGCTTCATGTTTACGGGGAGTTGCACTATGTCGGCGGAGCCCCTAGAGGGCGTGGGTATTTGCGTCAGCGTTTCCGACCGAGTTTTCCAGTGTGGATCTTAGCTGCAGCAGTGTGTCGCTACCAGCCCTGGCAACGGCAGCAGGTGGCAGCAGCACTAGCAGCGGCAGAATTCAGAGTGCCTTTTACGGTTCATCAGCCCTTGTGGTCAGACCCTGCAGCTGTCTGCATATATTGCTTTATATAGCGATAGCACGGCTTCCATAGCCTTGCCTGCAGCAGCCTGCGTGGAGTTTCAGCTGCCGCCTTACCGGCAGCAGCGCTGCAGTATCTGCTGCTCGTGGTGGTGCCTTCTGCGCCAAAGCTGTATACTGAGTGGTCTCTGTCTCAGCGCACCTGGGGCCTTTCACTCTTCCCCATCCGCTGGTGAAGCGAGCTATGTGCGACGCAGAGCCAAACGTAACGCATCGGCACCGTGTTTAGTGGTGGAGTAGGATTTGCAGCAGCAGCCTCCGGGGGATGGTACAGCCAGCAGCAGCAGCCGCGGCTGCCGCGGATGCGGCGACAACAGATGGCGTTGCTGCTGCGGGGGATGCCCCCGCAGGATCAGCTTCGCGGGAGCAGAGCAGCAGCAGCGGGTGGACCGACACTGCAAGTGTAGATTCTGCTTCAAGTGCCGTAATGCCGCCGAGGCGTAGTGATAGCGCAACAGATAAAAGGGGCCTCAGTGAGTCGCCTCCGGGGGCCTTGTGGGCTTCTCCAGCCTACGAAGCTCGGGAGCCTGGTGAGGGAGCAGAGGGGCAATTGGCTTCGCCGTATTCATCGCTACAGCAGACCAGCAGTCGCAGCAGCAGCTGCAGCAGTCGTAGCAGCCGCAGCAGCGCCGGTGGCGGGTCTTCCGGGGGACATGCGGGAGGAAGCCGCCACGGGGGAAGCAGCAGGTCGGGTACTGGGGGAGGCAACGGGGGCCCTCGTGACTGTGAGGAGGGGGGCCCGGAGGGGGGAGACCCTTCTGCTGACAGTGACGTGTACTTCACGGAGAGCGACGATGAAGATCATCGGGAGTACAGGAGTGGCGGCTATCATCCCGTGTCTGTGGGGGAGATATACGCGAATAGGTACCGCATCGAGGCGAAGCTCGGCTGGGGCCACTTCTCGACTGTCTGGCTCGCAACAGACCTTAAGTGAGGGTCATTGCACACCCTAAACCCTGCCTAGAGATCATATGAACCCTACTGACCAGAGGCAGCAAACGAAAGCATGCGGCCGATGCTGAAACACGCAGTTTCAGGGGCTGAAGCTGCCGCAGGGGCATGGCTACCCCTGTCGCAGCAGAGGCGCAGCAGTGGGGGATTTTGGCTGGTGTAGGGTTTAGGAGTTGTGTTTTTGCGGGGGGTTGTTGCTGCCGCAGAGCTGTTCCCCTCGAGTTTGTGGCGCTGAAGTTCCAGAAGAGTGCCCGGCACTACACAGAGGCAGCAGCCGACGAAGTGCAGCTGCTGACCAAAGTCAAGGACGGCATGCGCCACCCCTGTTGGAGAGAAGCAGCCAAGTCTTTCTCGGTGAGTGGCCCTTCCCGTGTCTAGCTGGCGGTTGAGGGCTAGCTGCTGATGGACCCCCCCCCCCCCCCCCCCNCCCCCCCCCCCCCCCCCGGGTAGGTGGGTGTACGTTTTGGCTTTTAAGCCGTTAGGGCTTGTTTGTTAGGGTTGAGTTATGGTTGAGGTGCGTTGGAGTTCTTACTGTCTTCAGAGCGCCATCCGTGAGCGGCATGAGGCGGCGGGTATGCCCTATGAGCCGCCGCGGAAGCTTCCGCTGCCTCCAGTGGTGTTGTTTAAAGAGCAGTTTCAGCACAGGGGCCCCAACGGAGAGCATATGTGTCTTGTCTTCGAAATGCTAGGTGAGGCTTGCCCGTACCAAAGAAATCAAACAAACTTAACCAAGGGAGACGTGCAAGCACCCTGCGGGCTGGCGCACGGGGGTGGAGCTGAATGCTGTGGACCGGATGGTGCCGACAGCTCGGTGGCCTTAGGGTGCAGTGTTTATATCTGAGAAGAGCCGAGGGTGGAGGTATACTGGATAAGGCCAGGGTGTAGGCTGTGTGGTTTATGCGTCTTAGGCCCGAATTTGTTGTCTTTAATAAAACGCTACAACTTCAGGGGGTTGCCGCTTCCTCTGGTTCGGCGCATAGCGCATGACATACTGCACGGGCTGCACTATCTGCACGACGTCTGCGGCATTATCCATACGGACCTGAAGCCTGAAAACGTCTGCGTGTCGGCCTATCCGCTGCCGCCACCCAACCCGCTGGTGGCTCCCTTGTCCACCGGCCAGCAGCAGGAGCAGCAGGAGATGGAAGGTCTCACCGCCGAAATGCGGAAACGGCTGAGAAAGAAGAGTAGGTGTATAGTTGCTCAGCTGAATTTTAGCTTCTTATTGTTGCTGCAGCTGAGACATCGCTTACTGCAATGCACGTTGCCGCTGTGGACTGTCCGTTCGTGTTGCGCTGCTTCTGTCGTGTGCCTTAGAAAAGCGCAAGCAGCAGCGCCTCAAAAAGAAGGCGGCAGCAGCAGCTGCTGCTGCTGCTGCTGCGGGTGAAGAGGAAGCTGCCCAATCCGAGGAAGAAGGGGAGGCGGAGGAGGAGGAGGAGGAGGGAGAAAAGCAGCAGCGGGAAGCAGCAGGGGCAGCATCAACTGCGGCTGCTGGTGCAGGCGCGGCTGCCGGCGCGGCAGGGGCTGCAGCCGAAGCAGCTAGCAGCAGCGCAGCAGCGGAGCAGCAGGAGGGGGGTGCAGTGCACGTGCCGTACGTTAGGCACTTGCTCAAGCCGAGCCGATCGGATCCTTCTCTGTTGACTTCTTACAAGGACGAGATCCATGCGTTACAGGGATCTCTTCAGAAGTAAGTCGGCAGAAGCTGCAGGCATTCAGGCCTGAGACCTAAACACTAAACCCTAGAGCCTCATTGTAACCGTAAACCCTATGCCCTTACGACGACGCTTGCTTACACCGAAGAGTCTTTGGGATGTATGGAAGGACTGCACAAAGCAGGTGCTTGTTGTTGATATGTGTGAAACTCTGCTGCTTGTGGGGGCCGTGCAGACACGTTTATAATTACGTGGGGTACTCACAGTACCAGCCGCAGTCGGCTTACTGCTGCCCCAAGACGGGAGGCAGGGTCCTGTACTGGCTGCCTAAAGAGAGGCCTGAAGAGGAGTCCCATCGGGAGGCAGGAGAGGAGGCAGAAGGAGCGCGGAACCGCCTGCCGCTGCTGCACGACGAACTGCTGCTCCATCCGGCAGCAGATAGGCTCTACAACCAGAGACTGAAGGAGGTGGCGCGCACCAGCGATAAGAGAGATGCACATGGCCATCTTCTGTACGGGCCGTATATCAAACTCGAAAATGAAGAGCAGGCCGAGAAGGACATGACCATCGTACAGACCTCGGAAGGACCGATTTGCATCAAGTCAGCAGTTTGTCGCATGTTGTTTCCGCGTATGCTGTTGCTAATAGGCGCGCCTATTCGTGGCTTTTGCCTGTGACTTGCGCGCCGAGCAGATTTACATCGCAGTGCATGTGATGGACGCGCCTGTGCTGCTGCACACCGCACCTTATCGTGTCTGTGGAAGATCGTTTGCTTGTGTTGCGCCTGCAGGCCTCTGCCTCCCAGTTCGTTTGCCTTCGAACATCCGAACGCGGTGTACAAGCTGTGCGACTTAGGGAATGCTTGCTGGGCCCAGGAGCACTTCACTGATGATATTCAGACTCGTCAGTATCGCTCGCCAGAGGTGTGACTCCGTTTCGGCTGTATATTTCGCTGCTGCAGCTGAGGCGCTGTGGCCGTTGAGGCCTAGCCTGTCTACCCGTCCGCCAACTGACTCAGCATTTGGCCGCTGTGCTTGTGATTGTACCCATCGAGAGTTGCTAACGTTGGTGCTGTCGCTGTGCTGCTGGTTGGCTGTAGGTGATCATTCGCGCTGGATATGACTGCACGGCGGACGTGTGGAGTTTCGCTTGCATGGTGTTCGAATTGGTAACGGGGGATTATCTTTTTGATCCGAAGAGCACCAACGATTTCGACAGAGATGAAGACCATCTCGCTCTGGTGTGTCCTGCTTTGCTCTGGGGAAAGGGACATTCTGTGCATCTCAGGATTGGGGCATTTGGAGGCACTTTGTCAATGGGAAGACTGGATGTTGTGTTTGTGCATGCAGATTATCGAACTTGTGGGGCCGATGAGTTTGAATTTCGTTTCCCGCGGCCGTAATTCGCATGTAAGTGCAGCCGGCCGAGCGCTTGACCCCGCACTCCATAGACTTGTTCTTGACTGACGCGTCAATAGTAGGGTCATGGGTTTTCTTGGGGCTTGTAGAGTTTAAGTGTATTCGCTGATCTGTTGCGACATGGCGTCTCAAGTGAAGCATCGACGACTTAGAGTAGCATAGGAAGGCTTACAGCAGTGCAGCGAAGGCTCCGGATGGGGCTTCGGTATGTAGGCTTCATATTTTCGGTTTCAGTGTCTGTGGTTTAAGACATGTGCGGTAAGATGCACTGCGTGAATGTGGATACAGCGCTTCTTCCGGGAACGGTCGACGGACTTGCGGCGAATTGATGACCTGCGGTTTTGGCCGCTTGTGGCTGTCCTTAGAGAGAAGTGAGCTTGGGCGTTGGGTTTAGTGGGTCAAGACTGAGTGCTGCTCAGAAAGCGATCGTGTTTGTAGTCGGTGGCAGGTGTTGGGCTGTATAGGCCGCCCGCTGCGCCAGGCGAGCCCGCCCTCGCATTCCAGGCTTGAGCAGTATTTTGTGCCGTACGCTCGTTGCTTCTTGGTGACCCTTGAGTGGGTTTAGTGGGTTTAGCAGTTGCGTTGCTTCATTTCTGCTTTACTTTGTGCATTGGGCGTTGGTGCAGATACCTCATGGGGGAGGCGGAGGCTGTGGCTCTGTCTGACTTTTTGGTGCCCATGTTGGCGCCCGATCCGCTGAAACGCCAGGGGGCAAAACAGATGCTTGACCATCCTTGGCTGCGGATGCGCTCCCCAGAAGACGAGGTGGCCTACTGCGAGATGGTTAGTATACAAATCAAACACGCCGGGGGGGGTGGGGCGAGAGGGGAGAAACTGCTGCTGGTGCTACTGGTACAATTGCTGCTGCTACATGTGGATCAAAGCTTTTGACCGCCCGCGGTTGAGGCGGAATCTGGATCTTAGGGTGTACGGTATAGGGCGTAGTGTTTACTGTGCATGTGGCTGCAGCGCAACAACATGCACGTCTCCAGGCCAAACTTGGATGCGCCCCTTCTGTCTCTATCCCCTGGGCACTCGCCGGCTGACATCGCAGTGGGCCCCAACGCCTTATGGTGCGCAGCCAGCACACGCGTCATTAGTAGCAGCAGTGGCTGTTCCCTTCTATGCATCAATTACCTTCATTTTGAGTGTTGTACTTTGCGTTGAAGCTCACGCAGAGGGTTCCATGTACTGCTGCCGCCTATTTCTCTGTTTTTTGTGCAGTGGCCGCCGCCCTGAGGAGGCCCACGGGTCTGCCCCGCCCGGAGCTGGTGCGGGGTGTATGTACAGCTCGGCTCCGGGGTATGGCCCATCACCCCCCGTGATTGGGGTGTCGTCACCCTACGCGCTACAGCAGCACCAACAGCAGCTGCAACAGCAGCAGCAGCTGCAGCTGCAACAAGAACAGCAGCATCTCTATGGCTCGGGTCCAGTTGTTCTACCCGCCGGTGGAGGCCCCGTNAGCTGCAACAAGAACAGCAGCATCTCTATGGCTCGGGTCCAGTTGTTCTACCCGCCGGTGGAGGCCCCGTCGACCCGAGCAGTGAGCTCTACACCCTGCAACGGCAACAGCTGCTGCAGCAGCAGCTGCAACAGCAACAGCAGCTGCAACATCTACAGCAGCAGCAGCAGCTGCAGCACATGCAGCAGCAACAGCTGCTTATGGAAGGACTGGGGCGTCATGTTGAGGGAGACAGGAGCAAGACGACCCAGGCTACTGGCGGAATCCTTGGCGTTGTGTAAGCTTCTTCTGATGTTGCTGCTGCTGTTGTTTTTGCTGTTCGCGAGGGAGTTCGAAGTTGAGAGTATTGGATATAGCCCTGCAAGGGTTGCAATATTGAACATATGGTTTGTTTTTTGACTGTGCAGTGGGGGGAACAATACGGGCTGCAGCAGCACGGCAGTGACGGCGGCAAGCAGCAGCAGCGGCAGAGCAGGTGCAGCGACAGCCCCTGGAGCAGCAGCAGCTGCTGCTGCAGCTGCATCTGCCGCGAGGATGCTGATGGGCTACCCGGGAACGAATGACCCGCAGTACTTCCGCGCCAGCAGAGACTGTTGGGATGGCCGGGCCGTCCCACCTTTCCCGCCCATTGGCAGCAACAGCAGCAACAGCAGCAGCAGCGGAGCTGGTGGCCTACGTCCAGAGGCCAGCGGAGTGAACTGGATGGTTCGCGGGTATCAGCATTCAGGGGTAGCTGGGACAGGAGACGCTCCCCAGCAGCAGCAGCAGCAACAGCAACAGCAGCAGCAACAGCAGCTTCCTTCTGCACGAGGAGGCGCTGGCAACTCTCCTGCTGACAAGCGTGCGGACGGCCTCCACCAAGGGAGCGGCGCCCGGGTCTCTGTCAATCCGGCCGAGACGGAAGGCGAGGCGGTTGCTGCGCCTGCAGGAGGTGAGGCACGTTGACATGCAGTACACAGGTGGATCCTCGGCGGGGTTTCTGTAGAGCCATTCACCCTACACATGTAACTTGCTGCATAGCTAGCCAGCTACTTTAACATGCCGACGTGCTGGATTTCACTTTCGTAGTCGAGTGACGGGTGTGTGGTGGCTGAAGTTGAGACTGGAGTGTTGCGAAAACAGAAAGGGCGTCGGACAGGTCGTATGCACGTGGAATGCAAAATATAGTTGTGTATATGCGTTTATCTCGATCCACATAGATTCATGCATTCATGTTATGCATACCGTTGCGTGTACACATATGTGGACTTTTCGGTTGGAACACGTTTGTCTAAATACGACCCACAGAGGCCGATGCAGTGGCCGGGGCGTTGCGGGCGTATTCGCATGTTAGCGTTTAAAGCTCTTCGAGACCGTCCTGTTTCTTCAGGGCGTAGGGGAGATTATTTATGGTTTAGCTTTTTATGGTTTAGCTGAACATTTGTTGTGTGCAACCCCTTATCGTGAGGCTCATCGGGAGCATTTCGCTGCTGTTGTTCCTGTTGCTGCTGCTTCTCGATCCACTCGCAGATTGGGGAACTGTAGGCGGACCTGTTTCTTGGATGCCCGAAGCAGCCGTGATGCAGCAACACCAACAGCAGCAGCAGCAGCAGCTCGACCAGCAGCAACAGATGCGGCAACACGTACAGGAGATGCAGGAGAGAAAACAAGAGTTCTTACGCCAGCAACAAGAACTGAACAGAATGCTCAAGGGGGTGCAGCAGCTGCAGCATGGTTTATCAGGGAGCTCCTGAAGCAACCCCAAGCGCAACAGTGGCACTAGAAGGCGCTCTCATGTTGGACCTTCTGAAAGCCCTTGACCGGCAGGAAATCGGAGCAAAGCGCTCTAGGCCGTAACGCACGTGGGTGGAACCGGCTGCAGCTGCTGCCCCTGCTGAGCGAGGAGAGCTTGGCCTTCCTTGCACACCAGCACAGAGCACTAGCACGAGAGCTCGAAGCCTAAAGGACCCTTGCAAGGCTTTTCTCTTGCCCAGTACCCACACTGCTGCAACGCCAACTGCAGCAGCAGCGGCGCCATCAGGTGGGGCCGCTCGCAGGAGCTACAGCAGCAGGAATTCGGGAATAAAGAGACCGCATGCAGTTGTCAAGGGGACCTTGACTTTCGCATGTGTGACGCCTGTCGCTTCCTACGGCAGAACAGCTACAGCAGCTGCAGCAGGAGGCGCAGCACGGCACATGAAAGAGATTATTTTGCCTCCTAAGAGGAGATGGGTTGCTGCAATTATTTAGCTGGGCTAAATGGCATTTAGCGGGTTGTATGTTGTGTTGTGAGCACAACCCCGACGAAAGCCTCAGCGTGAGCGGTGCGGTGCCGCTGCAGGAGGGAGTAGGGTGTGTGTACACCGCAGCAAAATCGTACTGCTGGCGACGAGCAGCAAGTTAACGATACGCTCAAAGGTGTTTGTAATAATTATTTATTTATGCGCCATCAGCGGGGCAACAGGTCTTAAGGGGAAGCATTGCAGCAAATGAACGAAACGAAAGAGAACGTATCTTAGCGCTTTACTTGTTTGAAAGGCAAGTTAGGAGACAGCGGTGCGAGGGAAGATGCAAGTTAAGTGGTAGCCGTAGGCACTGGTAGTATTAGGCGCAGTAAATGAGTAAGCATAGATAAGACTCCGAGATGTAGCAATTGTTGCATGGAAGTGCCAATTGGTATCGGCGGCTGGGGTGGCGGACCACTTCAACTGTATTCTACAGGGCACTTCTTGGGTTGTACTGTTTAGGGCAAGATGGAGAGCTAAGAGTAACGCCGGCCTCTTATAGAGTGTACGAAGGGTAGCCCTTCTGTTTCGGTGGCTTAGTGACGCTTAGCGGAGTGTAGGACTGGTTTGCAGCGGAAGGGCGTGCTGCACGTCTCAATGCATGTTGAAGAGTCCGTTTAAGTGACTCAAGTTGCATCCCGTAGATAGGCACGAACGCTCAAGATTGCGGGCAGCCCGTTGCTGGGAAGGAATTTAAGAAGCAATGAGCGTGGGCAAAATGGGAAATGAGGGACATCACCTCTCCCCGCTTCCCCGTAGATAATTGTTACAGCAGTGACTCTAGGGAAGCGATCATGAAATGGCCCCTAACCGTGGTGGTATTGCGGAAGGGTATGATACGCACTTGAACGTCAAATAGCTTAACATCAACTTTTATTTGGGAAAGGAAAAGGCACGGTTGAGCAGGATCAGTCCATGAATTCGCCTCTCTGGCTTGTATCTAAACAGCTTTTTCCTTGGCATCCCTCGGTGATTCTCTAGGCTACCGCATTTCTGCACGCGGCTGAGCAGCCCCTCGACGCCTTGGCAAATCGAAAGCCGCAGCGCTGAGCAGCATCGGATCTTCCTGTCCCTACTTTGTGCCCTGGTTAGGCTTTGTGCTCTTGCTAACATTTTGTCTAAAATGAGCAATCTCGTATCGACGGCGTTGTTCTGCCCAGCAGAGCCCAACGCGTTCGCTGCTTCCTTTCTCTGCTTTTTCTACCTATGAGGGGCTTTCATGCGTGCCGTACGTGCTAGGGAGGGTGAAAAGGTTCGTTCCATGGCTAAGAAATATCTCGCCAGCTCATGCAAACAGCTGGAGGCGGAGCAAAACGCAAACAGCTGGAGGCGGTTTTCTCTTTGTATGTGCCTGTACTTCAGCACACTGTCGGGTGTCAGGTAGTTCACTGTCTCCGTGTATGGACGTCTGCCACAACAGGTAAGAGGACGTCTTTCGTGGAGCGCGGCAGCCAAACACTGCTTTGTTGTGTGCATGTTTGTTTTCGAGAAGAAAATGCCGGTAATTGTAGTGCTGGGCAACTCGAGACTTAGCTGATTCTGGGGCTGGAGACGAGATGAGCTGCTTTCTGAAAATACTTCCCTTCCAACAAACTAGAGTGGTGCTACAGTCTGGCAGATTCGTTGGCTTTCTACGCACAGCCACTAAAGGGCCCAGGGCTGGTGCGAGATAAGGCAGCCTGATATGGGTTGCAACGCACCTTGCCGGAAGTGATGCAAGGCAAACCCTCATGCAAGCACAATCAAGCCCCCTGCGCTGCATGCACTAACACTGTAGAGAATGGCTGAACTCTTACTTGGCCATCTATAGCCAGCCTGCGTACAAGGAGAGATAGACGGATTAACTTCACACAGAAAATTCTGCATTTCCTCAATTCGCGCTGGAAGCCAAACCCGTGTGCAAGCACACCTAAGCCCCCTCTTTGGTGCATGCCCTAACGCCGCACACAATTGTTAGTTTACTTGACTCTAAATAAGAGTTAGCCCACATAAGTTTAAATACACATGCCAACAACACACGGAGCATGGTACATGGGGACCATGGGATAAAGGATGCAGGGAGAGTGGAGAAAAAGGCAGCTGCCTCATGAAAATCCGTTTCTTAATCCCCTTTCTGTATTTGCAATTCACGATACTCGCCCGCTAAATTCGACGACTCTCTCTATAACGCCTTTCGGTGTTCATTGCGGAGCGCTATTACCAGAGGAGATTCCTCTGCTGATCGGTGCCACCAATTTTTTCTGCTATTTGTATTGCAATGGTAAGAATATATTTAAGGAGAATCCTCGTTTAATATTTATTTTTTGTCTTCGACTATCCATTCACTATTGTTTTCCCTTCCTCCCTGCGACAGGGTACAGCCACAAAGCCCCAAGATCTCGCCGCAGGGCTCCCCTCCCCACAGGCCTCAATCACCGGCTTCATGATTGATATGATATCTCCACAGAACGTTCTTCAGTTTTTTCATTTGTTGTGTTTCTTGAATTTTAGTTCACTTTAAGAAATGTATCAGAACTGTTCTCTTTACTCGTAATGCTTCCTAGGCTTATGGAGGTGGGGGTGAGGCCGAAGTGTTCTGTTGCTGATCTGAATGGAACTCGATGCTGGCGCACGTTGTTTCTTTGTGGGTTTATGCAGGATGCTCAGTTGAGCTACAGACAGACATATTTTAGGAAACATGCAGTGGCAATTGGCGGGTTGGAGTTGACAGTGCCGGTGTGTCGGTTGCCGCGACGCTGTTTCACTTGCTTCTTCTGGTTTTTCGTATTCCTGTTGGTTGTACTTGAACTATTTGTTGAATTCGCCGTAGCCGAGGGCAACTGCACCATCAACATGAGCGGGCAGATTTGTTTACCAAAGGCTATGTGGCAGGCGCCGCCCAGCGGGTTCCTCCATGTGTTCATATTTGTATTCATGGACGTTTGCGAGACAAACGAAACGGCGAAAGAACAACGCAGACGAACAAAACTGTTACGCATGGTCTTCTCCCGCCATCCTGCGGCTCCGCCGTCGTGGAGGGCCGGGCACTCCTCTGCATGCGGAAATAAATTTAGTTAGCCGCCCTTCATCAGCCTCAGTCGCTAGAGACCCGTGCGGCTGAGTCGTTTGGCAGGGGGCGGACACCAAATTATACAAAATGTAGAATAATATCTATTGTACGTACAGAAGCGGCAGAGGGGCTTTAGGCAGTTGTAGCTCATTATCTATAGGAGGCAGGGCGTGGACGTCGGCTGTTTAGTCTAGTGGTATGATTCTCGCTTAGGGTGCGAGAGGTCCCGGGTTCAATTCCCGGAANCTGTTTAGTCTAGTGGTATGATTCTCGCTTAGGGTGCGAGAGGTCCCGGGTTCAATTCCCGGAACAGCCCCATTATCTTTATCTTTGTTACTGTGCTTGTTTAGATTAGTGGAGATCCTGCATTTTCCCTCAAGTAGCGGCCGAACATGCATTTCCCCTCAAGTATCGACCGAACAACGCACAACTAAGGGATCTATACCTACCTGTGGCGTATAGACCCAAGCGTGTATGGCGTATAGACCCAAGCGTGTATGCTTCTCGTGGGCCTTTAGATGAATGTCCGACTGCTTATGGCAGCGTATATGCGTGCTCGGTAGACCAGATCAGACAAGAGTCGTTGAGGCATCAGTTGTTAGAAATTGTTCAAATGAGTGCAACCCTACAGATGATCTGTTAAGGGTGAAGACTAACCGCGCAGCACGCAAAGGCGAATGCGACGTGTACAGACACCGCAGTCACCAACGACAGGCATTTGCCAGTGTTGTTTACTGGTATCAGGAAAACTAAACTGAGACCTGCGGAGGGGGAGGGCCGGCCTTTGTATCGTGGCCCTTCTAAAGCGCAGTAGTCATTTTGGCTAATCGGCAGCGGCAGGACGGTTCTTCGCTGTGCATACACCTGGGGTGTGCGTAGGTAAACGAATCAAATCCGCACACTCTTTGTGTCTGCAGCACCTTCAGTATTCCCTCTGAAGTATATCTGTCAGCTGCCTAGACATGCCAACCCAACACAAATCACCGAGGCCAGGCCTTCAGGGTCGACCCTTGGCAGCATCTGCCCGCCTCTGCATTTGTTTGTATTCCGACTCTACCTCCTCCAGCTCCTGCGGAGACAGTCATACAAGTGACAGAGGGAGACACCTCTATGAATTCATTTGTCCACCATAATAATATTCTCGCTCATCTTCGTTCACCATCGCAATACATACTACATTTTTCTCGTCTCCAACTACAACTGCTGCCTGTATGAGTTCCTGCGTTCCTCTCCACCATCATATACGTGTGCTTCATCTGACGTGTGATCTGCGGGCTTTGGGTGAAACTACCAGGTTTGACTAGGGTGATACGATGGCGTCCACTAGTATTTCAGTTCAGATTGAGGTTTCGGCCTGAGACAGCCTACCTGCTGAAGAGAACGTTGAAGGGCTGTTTCATCGAAGGGGGATTTCTGCAATGCAGTCATTTGACCCCTTATTGCCTTGGCTATCAACTCGAGCAGCTGCAACTCAGACAGCTGACGAGCGTTCTTGTAGCTGGGCCGACCTTCCTCAGGGCGCAGGTCTATTGCGTTGCCGTGGGGATCCCGAAACACCCCTGCACCAAACGCCTCAAAATATACACAAGAATTCAATAAGGGAACCCAAGAGCTCCAGCAGCAAACAGGCAAACACACAAGCAAACAAACAAACGCAGACGCAGAAAAAAAAACACACACACAAAGAGAGAGAGAAGAAATCAGGTGTACGTGCGCTGCAGCTTCTGCAGTACCTGGGAAGGCCGAAATTTGATACACTTTGGTGTATCCATTTTTGTCGACGTCGTCGAGGTCTTCGTATTCTTCTAGCGAAACCCATTTCAGCTTTCTCTTCTCCAGCTCCTTAGAGTAGTCAAAGTCCGCGGGTGGCCACTGCGGCCACGCGTACCACCACCTGGCATGCATAGACACACACAACACCCAAACACACAGTAGAAGAGACCAGCACTCATACTCTCTCAGCAAAAGCATGGGGATACACAACAAGTGGAAATGATGCTGCTGCTGCCGCTGCGGTTGCTGCTGATGCAGCTGATGCAGCAGTGAAGCGAAGACGCAGCAAATCATGCGCCTGGTAACCTATCACACTAATCTAAGAAGGAGCATAGAAGCAGACCAAACGGAATACGAAACAGCAGATATAGAGATAGAGTACAACAAAGCAACCAACAAAATAAATAGCACACCCAACAGCCGAAAATGAATAAAATAAAATAAATAAAATAAAGAGTGAAACAACAGAAAAAGGGGAGCACTGGCTGTTGAATTACCGTCTGAGGAACTGTGCGACGAGTCTGTCCTTAAGGCTTCTCTTTTTCGGGTCGAATGTGCCCATGTTGATTTCTTGTTCGTCTCCCTCTTCATCGCTGTCTGCTGCATCTGTTTTTCTCCTGGCAGGAGGTGGACGTACACCCCGAGGCTTGCTCCCTTCTGCCTTTGCCTGTCGCTGCCTCGTTCCCTTTGTTTTTGCCATTTGTTTTTTCTTGTTTGGTGACCTCCCCTGCTTGGCGCGGCTTCTTGAACGAGCATCCGACTCCTCGTCGCTGCTGCTCTCGCTACTGCTGCTCTCGCTGCTGCTGCTGCTGCTGCTGCTCCCGCTGCTGCTGCTGTCACTCCCACTGCTCCCGCTCCCGCTGCTGCTACCACTGCTGCTGCCACTGTCGCTGCTGCTGTCGCTACCGCTCGGCCGTCGGGCTTTCGCTGCACATACAACAACAGCAACCAAAGAATGCGCCCTTGCCAGCACTGCTACCAATGCTGCAGCAGCTGGCACCTCTCCCCCTCCCCCCCCCGCTTGAACACGAACTAGCCACCTACACTTGTACGCAGCGGTTCTAAGGGTCGCAACTCCTCCTTTGTGGACTCTGTCTTCTCTGGATTCCCTGCTTACCTGCTGGTTTTGGTTTGGCTGGCGCGGGTGCCCTGTTGGTGCCGTTCTGCTGCTGCTTTTGCTGCGGTGCTGGTGCTGCTGCTCCTCCTGTTGCTGTTGCTGCCTTGGGTGCAGCTGCCTCAGACTGCGTGCGTGGAGGGGCGATATGCATTTTGCCTAAGACGACATCTTCATCTGAACTGTCAGACATTAATTTGCTCTTCTTTCCGCGAGGCCGAAGGGGAGACTCATCGTCACTATCGAGCAGCCGCCGGCGGCCCCCCGTCCCTGGTGCTGATGCAGCAACACGAGGGGACTGCTGCTCTGCAGCAGCTGCTGCAGGAGCAGCTGAAGATGTAGCAGCACCGCCTCCTGCTCCTGATGGTGCTGCTGCACCGGGACGCGGAGCAGCAGCAGGTGCAGCAGCACCAGATCCACCCGCTGCGCCGCCAGGAACTGCCCCTGACGAAGACGGACCTCTTCCTCCTGCTTGCGCTGCTGTTGCTGCTGCCTCTGTTGCTGCTGCAGGGGCAGATGAAGTCGGCTTGGCCGCCGGAGCTCCAGCACCAGCAGGCCCCGTGGGATCCTTACCGGACTGCAGAATCAGACAGCAGAAGAATGCAACAACTAAGGGGGCGGAAACGCAGCTTGCTCAGGGATAGAAGCTGTTTGTGTTTGTCCCCTTGTCTCCTATGGCTGTGCTGAGTCTCCTGCTTTTCTTTTGCCGTCTGCGCTGTCTTGCAATCTGGGTTGTGTGTATGTGTGTGTGTGTGTGTATGTGTGTGTGTGTGTGTGTGTGTGTGTATGTCTGTGTGTGTGCGTCCTGTCTGCCTGCTTGTGCTGCAGCTGCAGATAGCATCACTGCGGTTGTGTGCTGCTGTCTGATACATGCAAAGAAGTATATGACTGTCTGGGTTCAGAGCTGAAGCCTGGGGAGGGAACTAGCAGCTGTCGATACACCCGAGTTTCTGTGCGCGTTGGTGAGCCCACCTCCATCTTGTGCAGCAGTTAAGCAGATAAAAATAAGCCGATTTGAATTCAACTTCGAATCAACAAACAATAATCCCCCGCTGCCGTCTCAGCAGCAGAGGATAAGACAAAACGGTGAAGGTGTAGGCCCAACGCTTTGCGGCTGCAGCAGCCACAGAAGGGGAGAGGGGCCCCAAGTCTGCTGCTGAAGATGCAGCAGCGATGTTTGTATCGCCTCCTGCTGCTATTCAGACACGGCCCAAGGCGCCTCCACGGCGTACTGCTTTTTACAGCGGCTGGCGCAGGCGCCTGTAGGCTGTTGTTCAGCTGCAGGGGGTGGGGGGTGCGAGGCTTATACGGTACAATGCAAACGAAAAATTCAAAATAAACAAAAACAAGCCGCAAAGAGGCAAGAAAACAGGCGCTGTGCCTCCTAGTGCACAGAGAGGGTCGTCTGCCAGGCCCGGCCGCCCGTCGGCGCAGCTTGGGGGAGAGTTGGCTCCAAAAGAAGAGAAAGAGATAAAAGAAGAGGAAAAAATAAATGATATATTCAAAACTCTCCAGAATCACTAAAGACAAACGAACAAAGAAGAGGATCAGCCACCAACGCTCCCGTAAAGTGCCTGTTGTCTGCTCTGCATGCTGTGGCTCACTGGCTGGCGGCTTCCACAGGGCTGTAACGAGTCTGAAGGGAAAACAGGGAAACGAAACAACAACTAAGACGTTTTGGGATTTCTTTTTAATTTAAAATGTAATCCATCAACTCATAATTAACGCCAAGATACCCCCACGAGATCGCGCGCCCTCCGCCAAAGTATCGCTGGGCCTCCTTCCTATTTGCGTCCCCAGGAAACGGTTACTCGCTCTTCAAGTTATTTCAATTGTAACCTTCACCGCAGTTTTAGCATTTACTTTGAAAGATCCACGCAAACTTCACTAAAAACTGCTCAGGATCGGGCCCCCGCTGACCGCATATATCCGCCTGGTTGGTTTGAGGCGTAAACACACGTGTACACGCAGCTGCAACAAATGACCTCGTTGCCCGTAAACGCTGCGAAAAAAGCAACTCGCGAAGGTACAGCGGCGCCAGTGCCGTTCAGCTACTCAGACGATGAAGACGAAGACGGATGGATGCCGTTCCGTCGATCTGCCCCCGATACTGTAGGCGTTTGGTCCTTGTGCAGATAGATGCAGTGTATGTACAAACTTGTTTGCCTCTTCCTACGCGCAGACGTTTCTCTTGTTATCCTCCTGGTCATCAATATTTCGTATTCGTGCGGTAATCCTCTCCTCAGGCCAAGGCAGAAGGCGGCTGGGACCTCGGCGGTTTCGTCTCTCCTTTCCAGTGCGTCGTACTTCAGTTTGTAGTATTTAATTGCAGAAATGGATGCTGCTATATTATAGCACCTGTTCAGATTCTATCTCTACTTTCCTTCCGTTGTGTTTCTCCGTCCTCTGTCTCTGCTTCACTGCAGGGGCACGCCGCTGGTAAGCGCAGCTACAACTACCCCCAAGCCAAGATGCCTCTGAAACTTCTCCTTTTGTTCCCCGATCTGGTTGCTTCGTATGTAGGAGAAAATACGCGTCATTGTAGAGGCTATCCGTCTGGCTGAAGAGGATGTTGTGTATGAGTGCGCCAGCCAAACCGCCAACCCTCCCCCCCCCCCCCGGNCCCCCCGGCCCGTACCCGCCGTATAAGCATTTCTATTTGTTTTTGTTTAACAGTTAATGTTATCCTTCGTTATTTTTTGTATTAAATGCTCATGCAAACATTGATGTTCTGTTTGTCTTTGTGCGTTCAGTCTCGGTTGCGGCGATGGCCGATTCATCATTGAGTGCTGCCGCCTCACAAACTGCTCGGGTTAGTTTATCTCTTGTGGGCTATTTCTGCTTACCCAGAGCGAAACATCACGAGCAGTGTAATAAAATAACTACTAGATTCATTATAATTATTATCGTAATCGTTTTAATCATTGCATCTATTGTAATTATTATTCCAATCAGTATATTCATTTGTGGGAACTGGTATTTCAAGCATTCCGTGCCCGTCTATTTCTTTGCTCGTTTATCTCCCAGCTAAAATACATTTACACGATTTCCTGTATATATTACATTTGTATTCACACCCTTGCCTCTATATTTACTGCACCTGTTGGTACACGCTTACCTCTACACATATTACAGCCGTATCCAAACACACGAGTGTATCTACATTACATTTGTATGCATATATATATATATATATATATATATATATATATATATATATATATATATGCTATGTTGTCTTAGGAGTTGGAGTTGAGCTGGACGAGTCTTTGTTAGAAAAGGCAACGCGAAACGCCTCAAGGGCTCCAAACATCCGCGCGAAATTTCTGCAACGCGACTTCGTGGCTCCTGGCCTCGACCTGGCGGAGGCGACGGTCATGTGGGTTTTTGTATCATAAAAAAAGATCAATTAATATATTTGCAAATTAATAAATGCATTTGCAAATGCGTTTACTTATTTCTAAATTTATTAGTATATTCGGAGATCAACCTAGTTGGAAGTCAATGAATGCGCAATGCTCAATGGCGTTAAGTTTATTTGTAGACCAACAAATTTATTTGCACACCAATCAGTACATTTGTGTATCAGTTATTTTCTTTGCAAACCAAGCGTTATAGTTATCCAGAAAGTTCATTTCGCCCTGTTCACTAGCTTAGTCTCGCTCCGCTGCACTCCGGCCCAGCAAGCGGCCGCCCGCCGCAGGGGGCTTTGTCTGTTCCCTTTTGCTCAGGCGTAGGGTTTATGTTCGCTTTTGTTTGTGCTTGTTACAGCTTCCTCTATCTTCTTCCAGAGGCCCTGGATATGCTGCTTCCACGGCTACGCGAACTCGCGCGGACCTCCTCTGCGTTACGGTGTATCGTCACCTTACGCTGGGCGCTGCCCGGAGTGTCCCCGTCTATCGACAATGCAGAAATGAATTTTTTTGTGTACAGAGCTGAAGACCTCAGGAGCAAGACCGAGAGCCCTGCGTAGGCAGCTAGCTTAGTCATCTCCCCTTCTACTAGGCTGATGCACGTAGGTAACAGTAGATATTCTAGAGTCCAGCAGAGGCAGCTGCTGCAACTGCAGCACGGCAGAAACTGCTGTAGCTACAGCAGCAGCGTTGCTGTTCTTTGCAACACCCTGATACAGCAGCAGCTGCGGCGGCGACGTCGTTTGCCGATCAGCAGCAGCTGCTGCAAATGGAGCGTCGTTCTCCTTTTCGGTTTTCAAGAGGTTAGAGGGTGCGGGAAAATGCAGTAAACGACTGGTGCAGCCTCAGGGACCTGAGGGTGGCTTTTACAATAGAATTATGGTAGAGTTATTCCGGGAGTACAGGCGTCTGCAACTGAAACGAAGAGCAGCTGCTGCTGCTGTTGCTGAGCTTAGTACAGGCGTTTCACTTTGTCTCCGGTGCGCAGCGCTCTTCTCTTGGCTTTCTTCAGCTGCAAGAAGAGGCCTTGCGAACCCTCTATATCCTGTAACACGAACGACACAGTTGTAGTGGCTGTAAGCAGCCCTTCGGTGCATTTTTTTGATTTGTTGCACCTCTTGTGAAGCTTCTTCTTCTTCAGCAGGAACTTCTTCGGCTTCTTTCGCTGGTGCTGGCGGTGTATGCATGCAGCGCAAGCCGTGTTGATAGTTTAGATAAGAAGCACAACTTACGTTCCTGGGCAGGTTGGCCTCCTTGCACAGCCTCCTCCTCGTGAAGCTGTGCGGGCTGTTGCTGCTGCTGCTGTTGTTGCCCCTCTTCCGCTTCTGCTGTCTCCTCTTCTGTTACATATAGCATGGGCAGCGCATAGGCAGCGAAATTTTGGGGGGAGTTGATGTTTAAGGTTTAGAGATTTTTCTCAGCGGCAGCATGCTTGTCGGCGCACCCTGAGCGGCCTCTGCCTCGGCTGCGCGCGCCTCTTCTTCAGCAAGCGTTGCTTCTGCTGCTGCTTGTGCCTCTTCTTCTGCCTAGAAAAGATTATATTGCTGCAGCAGCAGCACCATCAAGGCAGCATGGAACAACCGCACCTCCGGGGCCTCCCCTGCCTGCTTCTCGATTTCCGCAGCAACTCGGCGCTGAAGCAAAGAGCATTGCAAATAGAGAAGGCCCTGCGTATTTCTGTGGATTACCTCCTGTTCAATTAGGCTTTTTAGATTTTCTTTCTCCTGGTCCAGTTCCTTTTGCTTCTCCATCGCATGCATCTCGGCAACGACTTGCAAATTTTTCGTGCAGTCATTTTTTCTGATCAAGGTAGGGCAGCCACCTACCCGTCGCCTCGGCCGTTTCGTGTTTCGCTTTCTCTTCCTGCGCTGCTATTAGTTCTGCACTGCGTGGAAAACTCTAGTTGACGCACCTCCTCTCTGAGTCTGGAGGGGAGCAAGCAGCAGGTTGTGGTGTTGGCTGTCGGCTGCACAGCTCCGTTTGTGTTGTGTGTTTCTTACTCGTGCTCTGCGTCCGCTTCAGCTTCCTTGGCTTTGGTTATCCGCTGTGGGTATCGAGGGGCTCACGATGCCGTAGATACACAAGAGGAGATGCCCTGCCTACCCTTTCTGCCTCCAGCAGTTCGTTCACAACTGAGGAGGCAAAGGAGATGCAACTCTGTTTCAATATGCCTATGGATATCGTTCTGACCCTCTTTGTGGTGCCTTCTCTCTGCATCTTTAGCCTGTACGTTTCGATATAGAGGGAGGAGAATGTATGAGCTATGCTTGGCTGTTCTATATCTTCATACCAGCTTTCGCACAAGCGCCGACTCTTCGTGTTCTAAGTGCGCGTGATGATTTATCTGCTCCCTGATCGCTGCCGAGTGAGCGTGTGACAGGTGGCCTTTGTTAAGTTCGAGTTTTCTTGAGGCGTATTCATGAAATACACACCTCTAGCCACTTCGTGCTCGGCGGAAGCTGACAGGCAACATAAAAACAAGTATGAAAAATTGGGGAAGGCAACAAGGGTAAATGAGTAAAAGGAATACCATCTGTCGGAATACAACACTCTCCTGGCTCATCAGCTCGACAGGTGCTGATGAAACAAACGGCCCCCACCACCAGCCATGAGCAGTAAACTCTTTTTAGCCGCATTCCTAGCGCTGCAGTTTGCCGACGTCCATGACTCGTTGTTTCTAAAAAATCTAAAAATACATTTGGCAAATAGTCTGCTGTCAAAAATCTGGGGTTAATAACCCAGTAGTTCAAAGAAATCAACTCTTTGAACGCGAATTCACGAAACCGTGCATACACCTGAACCATATGAAACTGACGGGAAACAAGTCGCAGCCAGTGCAGTTGAAGCACTGGCTGCATCAAAAACCCGGGAATTTCACTGAGCGAGGGTGGTGTCTTTGTTCTATTCATGAATTAGGCGTTATTCATGTTTCTGAGTACGAAGCTAGTCATGATCTCGACTCCATGGTATTCCTCGTGCTAGGCTCAGCCTCCGGAGTTGCCCATGGAACTGCTCAGTTCAACTTGACTCAAGATAGGCTCATCTTTTGTGTATATACGCCTACAAAGTTTACACGAAGAGCCTCTATTAAGTCAATTTAGTTCCTACGCAATGAAACTCAAGACAGACATGCTTCTTAATGTTGGTTCGGCCTCTAGCCGCCGACGAGCAGCAGGGCTAGCATCTCGTGATGTCCCCCCCACACATAGCAGTAGAGAGCCATGTAGCAGTAGAACTCTACAGTTAAACTTAATTTTAAAGCGTACAAACAAGAAGATTACAACACGCCGACTTGCTTTTTTGGCGTCCTTGTTCGGTGAGCGCAGCAGCCGCCCTGCCTGCCACAGCTGGCTTCGTGTTCATGCGGCGTCCTACTAGTGTGAGGGTTCAATATGGTACACATCTTCTTCTTGACGCCAGTTTTCCCATAATTGTTCTCTTTGATCTCGATAAAAGGCGCAAAGATGATATTTAATTGAATTCTGTCGGTCTGTCTGGCGGCAGCAGCTGCTCAGCCTGCTAGAGCATAGCGCGCTCTCCACCCGCCAGGGACCCGCGTATTCCGTGCGATATGGCATCCATTTATTTAATTGTCCTTGAAACATCTTCGACTTGAACACTTCATTCAGCAGCCTACAGTATATTGATGGCGGTAAAACATCATCTGCCCACTGGTCGGCCGCCCCTTACGGTCTCGTCGGGGCTGCGGCTGAGGCGGAACCCGGAGAGGTATCCGTTGCGTTCTCCACTCCTTAGCGCAGAAAACGAAAAATAAAGGCAATTAGTTAACTATTTCAGTTTCACAGTTTACACATATATGCGTTGACCAGCAAGAAGACTCGAGTTCAGTCGCCCCTGCCGGCCGGTGTCTGCAGACAGAGCGAGTCACCCGGCGCCTTCTCTGTTGCTTCTGTTGGCTCTTCCACGCGGTGAAATACGGCAATTTGTGGATGATCCACGAAGCAACGTACTCTCTGTTTATCTACAAGTGTTAGTCCTTCACCGCATTCAAGGTGAAAGTCTCCCTATTCAGCTCTAAACATTGGTCCTGCTCCTTTCGTTAACCACATATACCTTTACTGCTGATACTACCTCGTACTCTTCTAACAATTGTTAAGAAGAGAAACAATATCTCAACCGAACGCGGGGCTGCAGTTACTGTCTACCGCCTTGAATTCACAGAGGAGAGAGCACACTGCACACGCAACCCCAGCCGGATCTGCATAGTTCAGCAAATAGAACATAGATACATATATGTATTAATGTAGAAGAATGCAAATGCATATATTATATAAATAAAGTCCAAAAACGAGGCACCCAGTCTTAGCTAGAACAACCCAATGCGACAACTGCGGTGGTACGCTGCAGGAGAGGATTCGTTTGAATCTTTAGTAGTGAGGCATTTTATATACTAAAACAGAGTAGAGTAGTCGGATATCTGGTCATTCTAACTTACTAAATTTATTAGTAAGTCTTAGACTTGGTGACTCCGACGAGACCACTTCTCAGCCTTTAGGTTCCTGCGTCCTATTGCCTGAAGGCGCGGCGTTTCTTTCATGCTTAGGCGCTGCGCTGGCGCGCAGACGAAACGTTCGTTGCTGCTGAGAATGTTTCGTAGGAAATTTATCATATAAATACATTTAGATTCGCGACCGTATAGCCTGCAGTGTAACCCCAAGGCATTAACCTCATTCTCCTCCTCCCTTTCCTCGTCAACCAACCAATAAATAACAGTTGCATCGCTGAGCAGTTGCTGCAGCGCGTACCTTGGAAACTAGCAAAGGCCCCGAAAGATTCCTCGGGGGTCTCCCAGGCCCCTGAGTGTTTAAGGGGTTCTACGGCGTGCGGAGGGAGAAGAAAAGAATCAGCACCGAGTAGAGAAGCAGAAATGCAGGGATGAAAAACGAGCATCAGAGCCGCCAATACCAGCAGAAGCAGCAGCAGAGGCAACAGCAAAAACACGAGCAGCAGCACCTGTTGCAATTGTAGAGTAGATATCACAACAGAAATGACTCGTCCTGCGCCCATTGGCAGCAGTGCACTTGGACCTGCAGCAGCAGACGGCATGCGGCTTTCTAGTGGGGGCCTCCTCTCCGGATGGGACCCTGAAGGAAATGAAATAAATGCAGCCGCAGAGCTAAGAGGGGGGCCCAATTTCGGCGGCCCCCATAGGGTTGCTTCGGTGCTGGAGGCCCTGAGAGGTGCTGGCGGACTGCAGGCCACTCGCCGGCTTAAGGCGCAGCAGCACCGGCCGCACGTGGGCGGCTCCACGGAAGCAGCAGCAGCTGGTGGGAGAGAAGGAGGAGCAGCACGGGAGGGCCCCATACGCCTTGGTGTAACAGCTAGGCCCCCTTACGAGCTACCGCGGAGTCATGCAGCACCTCGGGGGCTCTCCGTGGCAGCAGCTTCCCGCCGCAGCGGCCCCTCACCTTGGGGCCCTTCAACAGGGCCCCTCCCATCTCTGGAGGCCTCCCAGGCTGGACAATCTGCTCTGTGGGCGCAGGTTGGGCTATCTGCCTCTTCTGTATTCCAGCGCTCAATTTCGTTTCCCCTTTTGCCTCCTGCGGGGCCTCTTATGCCTCCAGTTAGCAGCAGCAGCGGGGCCCCCACGTCCTACTACCCAGGGGCCCCCGACTGCAGCAGCAAGTGCCAAGCAAGTGAAAAAGATGAGCAGAAGACACCGCAACGACCCAGCTTCTCTGCTTTGCCGTGGGCTCGCCCCTTCAGAAGCTCCACGCGGCGCCTTTGGTCCTCTCCAGGCTCATTTGCTTCTCACCGCGGGCCTCCGGGTCCCCCCTTGGGGGCCATATGGGGCCCTCAGGCTCCCCACCTGGGGCCACCAGGGACCCACCTGGGGCCTCCAGAGCCTTTAGGGCCCCCTGCTCCGCCGCTGGCCAGCAGACTGAAGGTGCACGGAGGTCAGGGATTGAGGCTCCAGCACCGGGCAAGCGCTGGAGACCTGCTGCAGCAGCGGCTGCAGCAGCAGCAGCAGCAGCGGCAGCAGCGGCCTGGGGTGGTGCGCCGTGAGGCGTCTTGGGCGCAGTTCTTTCGGGGCCCCCGAGAGCAGCAGAACAGCAAAAGAGAAGAAAAGGGAGGGGACAGACCGACAACTGAAACCCGGAGGCCCGTTGCCTCTTGGAGCCTACTCACTGTCCACAACTTCTCAGGCGCAGCAAAAGCAGCAGCAGCTAAAAAAAAGTGGCCGACAGCAGCAGCAGCAGCAACAGCAGCAGCAGCTCCAGGTTTCTCTTTCTCGTCGAAGGGAACAGCTGAGCAGCAGACGGAGGAAGAGGCCGGGGGCCCCCTGGATGCCGCTGAAATGAACCTACCGAGGCCGCAAGATATTGCATGCGCTGCACTCGAAGCAGCAGCTACTGCGGCTGACTCTTTGGCGGCCTTTGCTCCACACGTACAGGCAACTGCTGCAGCAGCGGCAACACCTGCAGCGGCAATTGCTGCTGCTGCTGCTGCTTTAGTTAGGGGGAAACCTATGCTCAACAAAATATCGAAGACAACAAAGGAAAATCCAGGAGTTGCAGAGAACGGGTTAGCAGCAGCAACAGCAGCAACGACATCAGCAGCAAGCGTAGGAGCAGCTCCAGCAGTGGCAGCAGCAACTGCAGCAACAGCAGGAACCGACACGGAAACGACGGCTGCTCCTCCGCCCGCTCAGGCAAATTCACCCACGCGAGAAACAGAAAAGGGAGGCGAGTTAGAAGCAGCAGCCGCAACAGAAGCAACTGCCAGAGCAACAGCAGTAGCAGCAGCAGCAACACCATCAACAGCAGCAGCAGCAGCAGAACCATCAACAAAAGCAGCAGCAGCAGCAGCATCACCAGCAGCGGCAACGGCGACAGCAGAGGGGGGGTGTAAGAACAGCCTGCGCCATCACTCTCGGCCTGATGCTTCAGGCGTTGTGCCTCCCCTCGTTTGGCAAGGTCTTCCTGCATCCGATTCTACCCCTCAAACGCCCTGCAGCAGCAACAGCAACAGCAGCAGCAGATGCAGCAGCAGTCAAAGCACCAGCAGATGGGACCCTGCACCTTTAATTCCCTCCAGCAGTTGGAAAGTTTTCGATATAAAGAGGCCCCTTAGACTGAAGATCGTTACAGTGGGCCCCCAAGGCAGCGGCAAGAGTTGCTTAGTCCGGCGTTTCTGTGAGCGGCGCTTCGCGGGGAGCATCTACGGGGCCCCAGGGTCTGGGGGCCCCCACGGGGGCCCCCAGGGTACGGTCACCATCGGGTGGGACTTTGGGCTGCGGGATGTGCAGCTCCCTACAGATGAGACGGTTCGTCTGCATTTCTTTGATTTCTCTGGGGACCCCGTCTACGCAGAAGCTGCTGAGGGGGCCCTGGAGGGGGCAGATGTGCTGCTAGTTGTATATGATGCGAAGGACCCCAGGTCGTTGCAGGAGGCCTTAGATACACTTGAGATGGCGAGGGAAGCAGTAGGGGGTAAGAGATGCACTGAGAGCTGCTCACTCCTTTCTGTTGCTGCATGCTGATGTTCTGCTGATTTGTTTCATCAATGACGCTGCTGCTGCAGTGCTGCTGCAGTACAAGCAGCAGCGGCGGCACAGCAGCAGCAGCACTGCGGCAGCAGCACCAACAGAAGCAGATCAGCACCAGCAATACTCGGACCACACTGCCACAGGTTGCATGTCTTGTTGTATTGTCTGCAGCTCAGGAAGCCCTCACTGCCTTGGTAGCAGCAAAGGCAGATGGATCTGCTGCAGCAGCAGCTGGCGCTGCAGCAGGAGAAGCAGCAGCAGCAGCAGCAGGAGCCCGCTTCTACGCAGCCTGCGCAGAGACGGCTGACGGTGTCGACACACTCTTCCTTGAAACAGCAGCAGAAGCAGCAGCTGCAGCACGCGCCAGAGCCGCTGCGCTTCTTGAACTCCAACCGCAGCAGCAACGACAGAAGCTGCAGCAGCAGCTGATGCTGCCGCTCCAGCGCAACACCACAGGCAGTGAGCTCAGGAGTTAGTTCGCCTTCAAGTGCGTCCCTTACACGGACTAACAGCAGCAACAGCAGCAGTAGCAGCAGCAGCGCAAGCTACAGCAGCAGTATACGCAACAGCAACAACATCAGCAGCAGGATATGCAACTGCAACAACGGCAGCAGCAGCAACAGCAACGACTGCAGCAGCAACGCCAGCAGCAGCAACAGCAGCAGAAGCTACATGTCGAATGCGCAGCCGTCGGGCCTCCACCCCCCCTCTCCTGAGGGCCCCGCAGCTCTTCCCTCAGCAGCCGTTTCAGAACGAAGCAGCCACTACAGCTCAACAAACCTAACAATCCAAGGAGGGCCCCATCGTCACTGCTTGCTTTCGCGGGCCCCCCTCAGTATTCTGGGGGGCCCCTGCACTACCCTAGAGGCCCCCCCCCATACTACCTAGGTGAACCCCTGTTAGCTAACTACCCTGGAGGCCTCCCCGTCACTACTGTGGGTCCCCCCCGTCCACTACAGCTGTGGTCCCCCGCTCACTACCGCGGGGGCCCCCCTTCAGTACCCTGTATTCTGCGTCGTCATCAGGTCACTACTGTGGGGGCCCCCACCTATCGTTGGGGCCCCTCGACAACTGGGGGACCTCTGGGGCCCCCCTGGTTCAATTCAAGTCCATGAAAAACTCTTAAGGGCCCCAGACTTTGATGAATTCGTCGCTGCAAAACAGCCACCTAACTCAGAGCAAGAAGAACGCTTCGCTTGGCAAGAGATACAGGAGCAGCAGCAGCAGCAGCAGCTGCTGCTGCTGCCGCTCCTGCTACTTGTGCTCGTACAATTCGAATTGACGATAGTGAGCTACCAACAGACACTCCGCTGCAGCAACAGCAGCAACAGCAGCAGCAGCAACCTGCACGGCCACTGGCTTGGAGGCCCCATCTACCAAAATAGCCGCCTTTCTGCTGCAGCTGCTGCAGCTGTTGCTGCTCCTGCCGCCGCTGCACCTGTTGCTGAAGGTACTGCTGCAGGTACTGCTGCAAGTACTGTTGCAGGTACTGCAGCCTTTGCAATTCGCTGCCACCGCAGCTGCAGCAGCAGCAGCAGCTGCTGCTGCAGCAGCTGCAGCAGCAGCAACAGACTAACTCCAGGTCAATTATAGCTGCGCCTCTTTCACCAGACGCGCGAGCATCCCACGCAGGCTCGAGGCCTCGGCGCCGTCTACAGAGAAACCGACAGCACAGAGTACCAGCAACTGCAGCAGCAGCAGCAACAGCAGCAGCATAGCTGCTACTGTTGCTGCTGTTGCTGCCACTGCAGCCCAGTTAAAACCCATCCCTATGTCTTTCTTGCAGTCTTCTGCGAGTCCCCTCCGTTTGCAATGCCAATAAAACAAATGATGCCGACTCAGTAGAGGTTGTTGCAGAAGTGGTGCCTGCAGCAGCAGCAGCAGCAGCAGCAGCAGAAATTGTTGCTGCTGCTGCTGCTGTACGTGTTGGGTGCGATCTAACGCAACGAGAAGACAGCGATTGCTTTCCTCAGGTTTTGCGTGCGGCGTTATCTGTCTGCTGTTTGTTGTGTTGCTGCAGCGTTTGCTGCAGCGTTTGTTGCCGGTTCTGCTGCTGCGGTTGCTGCTGCGGTTGCTGCAGCGGCTGCTGCAGCGCGTGTTGCAGTTGCTGCTGCTGACAGTGGAACCGAGCTGCATGAGAGCAGAAGGCCTCCCACAGCGCCTCGCTGCGTCTCTCTAACGAATGCCTAGCTGTTAAGAACCCATAGACAGCAGCGCCTAGGGCCTCTGACCTCATGGCCGCCCACGCAGGTGTTTCTACATATACAAGCACTTGCTGCGCAAGTGCAACCTGCTGCTGCAGCGGCTGCAGCAGCATCTTCTGCTGCTGCAGTCGTTGCTGCTGCTCCCCAACCTGCGCTGCCTTGTCCTTCCATCGTAAATGTGTTTGCAACCAACACCCACGGGGAGACCGCCGCAGTGCTGCGAGCTCCACCTGAAGTTTTGCTGTTGCTGCTGCTAGCTGCTGCTGCTGCTGCTGCAGCTGCTCGACGTAGTTAAACGCATTCAGCATACACTCGCTGTCCTCTATCCCTCGGTTCACTGCAGCAAGCAGCACATCTAGGTGCTGCTGCTGCGACTGCCGCTGACACAACATACCACAAAAAAACAACACAGAAGACAAATCCTGCAGCGCCTCGCTCCCCGATATTCGAAACCCCTGCAGCAACAAGTTCTGCTGCTGCTGCTGCTGTTGCTGCTGCTGTTGTTGCTGCTGCTGCTGCCTCCCCGGGTTAGCGGGGGCCGCGGATGTACTCCCTGAAACCGCCGCATCCACGGACTGCTGCTGCTGCTGCTGCTGCTTGCGACTAGACGGTGATCCGCTCCCACCGTTTTCCTTCTGTTGCTGTTGCTGCTGCTGCTTTGCTGCAAGGCCACGTGTTGCAGTAGAAGCCGCACTGGTATTGGTGTTTGGGTGCTGTTGCTGTTGCTGCTGTTGCTGCTGCTGTTGCTGTTGCTGTTGCTGTTGCTCCTGCTGTTGTTGTTGCTGCTGCTGCTGCTGCACCAAGGGCTGGATGAGCTGCTGCAGAGGGTCAGCGAGTCTATGGTCTAATAGAGCGGCTTGTAGGGCCTCCATGCTGACTTGCTGCTCCTGCTGCAGCTTGCATATGCGCCGGAGGTGTCGCTGCAGAAGCGAGAGAAACTGCAGGTGGTCAGACACCAGGGCTTTGCTAGCAGCCATCCGTGGGCCAGCGTCAGCAACAGCAGCAGCTGCTGCTGCTGTTGCTGCTCCTGCTGCTGTTGTAGCTGGTGAACGGGGTTCAGAACCCCATGAAGACTGCTGCGGCGAATTCGAGGAGGGCGAATTACTTGCTGTTGCTCCTGCTGTTCCTGGCGCTGCTGC